TATCGAGGACAAGGTTTTATGAAATCAGACTTCGAAAAACTTCAAAAAACAAAAGGTGGACTTATGTCATTTAACAATTTTTTATCTACCAGTAAAAAGGAACAAGTGTCTCTCAGTTTTGCTAAAGATGCTGCTGTAAAACCCGATATGGTAGGTATTCTCTTTATAATGTCCATTGATCCTAATATTAAATCAACACCATTTGCTTCTGTTAACGAACTTGGTTATTACGAGGCAAAAGAAGATGAAATTCTTTTCTCAATGCACACCGTCTTTCGAGTAGGTGAAATTAAACAAATAAACAATAAGAATCAACTTTATCAAGTTGAAGTACAATTAACATCGGATGATGATGAACAATTGCGATTACTTACCAATCGGATACGAAAAGAAGCTAGTGGTAGTACTGGATGGCGAAGATTGGGTAACTTATTACTTAAAATCGGTCAATTTAATAAAGCTGAAGAACTTTACAACGTATTACTCGAGCAGACATCTGATGAAGATGAAAAAGCACTTTATTATAATCAGTTAGGATTTGTCCATTCGAATCAAGGTGATTATGAAAAGGCTATCGGGTATTTCGAACAACAAATAAAAGTTCAGCAAAAAACTCTTCCCCCAAATAGTCCTTATTTGGCTATTTCATATGGTAACATTGGTGGTGTTTATGACAAGATTGGAGACTACTCGAAAGCACTTTCATTTTATGAAAAAGCACTTGAACTTCAACAAAAAACTCTTCCTTCAAATCAACTTCATTTCGCTACTTCATACAGTAACATCGGAAGTGTATATTACAGCATGGAAGAATACGAAAAAGCACTTTCATCTCATGAAAAAGCACTTGGAATCTATCAAAAAACTCTTCCTTCAAATCACCCTGATTTAGCTACTTCATACAACAACATCGGTAGTGTATATGAAAAGATGGGAGACTACGAAAAAGTGCTTTCATTTTACGTAAAAGCACTTGAAATTCTACAAAAGACTCTTCCTTCAAATCATCCTCATTTGGCTGCTTCATACAACAACATTGGTAGTGTGCATGACAAGATGGGAGAGTACGAAAAAGCACTTTCATTTTACGGAAAAGCACTTGAAATCTATGAAAATACTCTTTCTTCAAATCATCCACATTTGGCTACTTCATACAACAACATTAGTAATGTGTATTACAATATAAAAAACTATTCAAAAGCACTTTCATATTTAGAAAATGCTCTGGATATATTCCAACATACATTACCTCCAACTCATCCTCATATAAAAGCTGTAAAAGAGAGTATTGAAACTGTAAAGAAGAGATTATAAAAAATATTGAAATAAATAAATAAATCTTGCCGGTGTGTGTGAGTGAATGTGATCTATTTGTCTCTACGCCACGGTCATCCACCTACGCCCTCAAGATATTATCTATATCGGACAAATAAATGTATTGAAATATTCTAAATTGTCGTCCTAATTGATGTTATCTCTTGTTCTTTTTAAATCAGAAGCTACGATAAACGTCGTTTTATTCTTTTCAACAATATTTCGTTTATACATCATCAATATCACTGTTAGGTACTGAACAAACGAGCACACATTTTTACCAATAACAGAAGCTTACTTAAAGATCCTGAGGGTGTGGATGTGTTTGAAATGAAATATCCACACCCACACCCACCCACCTACACCCTCGTTTTTGTTTATATGCACCTAATGCAAGAAATGTATATCTTATATTAACTACTTATGGTATGCAAAAATATCGATTAGAAATGATTAAAAATCATAAAGATTTATGGGAAATTATAACAGATAAAGCACTACCTGGTCAAGCTTACCTCTATCTCATTAATGATTATCATGGAAAACAAAAATATCGAATAGATCCAATTAGTTTTTCCGTAGTTTCTAATCAAATAACTCGACAAGTTCAATCAGTTGTTCATGATGACAATGTTAACATTTGGAATGATCAAAACTGGATGCAAAAACGTGCTCAATGCAATCCATTAAAATTACCTCTATCAACTTATGAAATTCAACCAAAATCATGGAAAAGTAGTGTTTGTTGACCAAGAAATTATCGTGAAATCACTCATGATTTAATTCATGATTGTTTAGAAATGGGATTTACACATGTTGAAATGTATAGCATATTAGAACATACAGATCGATGGGAATATGGTTATCAAGTATCAAATTATTTTGCTCCATCTCGTTTTAATGTTCAATGTGATGATTTAAAATATTTAATTGATAATTTACATCAAAATAATATTGGTGTTATACCTGATTGGGTTCCAACACATTTTAAATATTATCATTTTTTTTCATCAATATTCAACATCATTACATGAATATGTTGGAACTAATTTATATGCTAGTTCACCATCACAATGGTGGACATTATATTTTGATTTTGACAAAGAAGAAACACGTCGATTTTTATTTGCAAGTGCACTTTATTTTCTTGATCGATTACATTTTGATGGAATTCGTTT